CCCCAAAACCCCAAAACCCCAAAACCCCAAAACCCCAAAACCCCATGATAGAGAATTTGAGAAAATTGTTAGATCATGAAAGTTTCAGGAGAATATAAAAAATGTTTGTATTATTTAAAAAATTAGAACTAAATCTGATAATATTCACTAGAGTGCGTGGAATTTCAATTCCTCAATCTTTACCATCAATTGGTAATTATGTTGTTGGTTATGAATTATCTTATTCCTCCTCATCATTATCATCTCCCTTTTCTATACTGTTTCGTTATAATTGTCTGCCTTCTTCTGGCTATGCCAATTGTCTTTATTCAAAGAGGTTCTGAGCAATAATGTTAGTGAACAGGACTGTGAGAAGTATGAGAATTAGCATCATCTTTGATTTTAACATGGGTGTTGCGTTCATAGTAATGAGATATCTAAAATATTATTTTAATGATTATAAACTTAAGCTTATTGAGACTTAAATACCAATTTTTTCGAATATCTGAAAGGTTTGCTTGACTAAAAATGCTTCTATCTAGTTATAAGTTAATTTAAAAGTAGTATTTCAGACTTAAAGACTTTGTTAAGATTGATTTATTTTCTCAAATAAAAGAAAATCAAGTATATTATCAATTATGAACAAACCAATTTTTCCCAATATTTTTAATTGAAAATGGCTGATAGAATTCTTCAGTTATATCAAACTTGCATAATTTAGAATCTTTTATTTATCATTTTCAAATAAAATAAGTCATTTATCGAAACATATCTTGACTTAAATATTGTATTTCATATTTCTTTTGAAAGAATGTTAAAGATTTCATGAAAAGTTCATTCACCAAAATGATTTAAAGTACTGATAGTTTAGAAGGTTTTGATTGAAAATAATTTGGAATTCAATCCACCAGTGATAATTAGGAATTATAATAAATTAGGGTAAAATGTTGAAGAGACTAAACAAGATCAAACTGCTACTCTTAATAATATAATTTTCTTTAATAAATAATTGAGATCTTGAAGGTAAGAGGACTTCTAATCCTTCAAAATATCAAACTATTGTTATCGTTTAACATTCTTATTTATAATGTTTTGCATTAGTTTCATTGAATTTTAAATCTGCAATAATTTGTACAATTTAATTTTAATTTGCATACCATTTACAATTTACGCATATCACTCTGTGGGGTTTTGGGGTTTTGGGGTTTTGGGG